TAATCCGTCACGAAAACGGAGCTTTTCGAAAACGCTCTTCAAACCGGAGGAATTTCAAAATGCCGGCTTTTCGAATTCGTTTTCGGGTGGACGGAGAACATTTTGAAAACGGAGCTTTTCGAAAACGATGAAGACACGCGTTTTCAGAGCTGAACGGAAAACATCTTTAAAACGGAGCTTTTGGAAAACGATGTCGACACGATTATCATAGTTTTGATTTCCCTGTCCAAGTTTTCCTCTAACGCAAATCCAAACTAACCGGTGATCGTTGCGTTTTTAAATTCCTCTCGCTGAGTGGGCCGGGACGATGAACATTTGATGCGTTTTCAGAGCTAAACCTCCGTTTTCAAACTCCTCCGGCGTAGTTTGGGTGAAGCCTAACTTACTGTAATTTCCGTAATTCCGTTAGCTGATCATTGTGCACCACCTAGAAATTGAATTATGACAAAACAATGCCTGTGTTATGTTATTGTAATTTGAAATTAATTTGATAAAGGACAAAGTAAGCAGCTGGTAATTATTTTTCTTCTATGTATAACAAACTGCTTCATTCTCACTGCCTACACTTTAGCGCCATTCTTTTTTAAGTTCATAAAATTTGGTAACGTGAAAAAGAAACATGTTCATCAATTTTGATTAAAAGGAAAAAAATGGGGACCTTCGGTATTTAACAAAACAATTTACAACATTTTAGTACAGAGAAATATTTCGCTTTCAAAGTCACGGAATAACAATTTCGCACAAAACTTTCATGTTTTAATGACGTAGGTTTTTATTTATTCTTTGTGGTGTTTTCGGTCATGTAGGTAATAATGTTTATTCACCCACTTATGCTCAGATCTTACGTGAGCAATTATTTATGCAAATTATAACGATGGCCTTCTTCTCGTGCCATAGAAAAACTCAGGCAGAACTGAGGCTGATACAGTGTAGTTGTCTACAAATTGGGTAAATATTGCTTATTATTGCCCTGAGTTACTGTGAAGCTAAACATTAGGCCACTATTTTTAGCTGTCGAGGAGTCTTTTAGGGTTGCACTCGAAGAAATTATAAAAAAACCCTATCATTTCCGTTTTAAAGTGGTATCTTTTAGGAGTCAAATAAAGCTCAGGCCACACCTTGAGGGGTTTAATTCAAATTTTCTGATGAGCATTTCTGACCTTTTCTCATGGGAGTACCCCACCCCTACCCCCGGGTATAACGATTTAGTGGTACTTCCAAAGATCTTTGTAGCCTCTGATTAGTTAACCTAAAAATAGCATTAAGTGATCACTGCCCAAAGATATGTGCATATGTACTATTTCAACAATATAAGATATTTATATTGTCGAAATTGCTTCACATATATCTCTTGTGGACAGGGGGCGGGGGAAGGGTGAAAACCAGAATCATCAGTTATCATGCACAGGAATAAATGCCATTATTATTCAAATCCAGTCCATACTGTATAAACAACACATATAACAATTACTATCACACAATAACTATGCACTATGTTAAAATGCCAGTTTACATTTAAAATTGGAGACAAAGAGCTATAAGAAAGTCATTACCAAAAGTGAAATATTGGTCAGTGTAAAACAGAGAGTATGGACTGCAGACTGCAGAACTGGGTAAATTGCAGACTAGGGGTAAAATGCAGACAAGAGACTTAACAAATATATATGTACATACATAGTCTCGAGTGCTAACTGTAAACAGGGTTATTCATGCTAATTAGAGTTATTATTCAGGCTGTACTCTGGTAGCCTGAATATCAATCCAGATAACCTGGATATCACAGGTTAGCCTGAATGCTCCAGTTAGCCTGTTTATGGTTAGCTCTCAATGAGGGAAATGATAACAGCATTCAGTTAAAAAAATCTGCAGTCCGCTGTGTGCAATTTACCCTTAGTCTCCATTTTATCCCCGGTCCACAGCCTGCAGTCTGCAGTCTGCCTTTTACACTGACCGATGAAACATGATGTTAAATCAAGACTGTCATGTTTAACATTCATTAATTAATGTACCTGGCATAAAGTCATTTGAACCCAGTCAAACTGAATTTCAATTGAACTCAATCAAATTCAATGGAACTCAGTCCATGGATTGGGTTTGACTGAGCCCGGTAATCGAACAAATTAAAACTTAACACAATCAAACTCAATGGAATGCTTGATTTCTGAACTCTGGATTTTTGTAAAACCGGTGTTGAAAATCAATAAGATTTTCTTGGAGGCTCAAGTAACTTCAGTATAACATGTGTTTTTCGTTTTCTTCACACCACCTATCATGACCTTTGTCAAAGCAAATTTATTCACCAAACACAATCAAAACCCATGCCATTGGAATTTCCTCAATAAAGTATAGTTATCAAAATCAATAAAACACAAATGGACATAATTTATAACGTCACGCTTTCCGATTTTTACATTAAAATAAAAATAATAAACCGCGCCGCTCGATTTATTGTCTCAAATTTAGTACATATGTGAAGTTTCATTAGAATCTGTTGATGGTAAATTGAACTGTGAAAGTGGTTTTTCGTATATATCAAAATAGGAACAATTGTTCATATTGCGTGACATGGCTCCAGTTCGATAGGGTTCGATTCGTTCGGAAATGGAACTCACAGAGTTCGTTCGATTACCGAACTCAATTGAACTCATCCACAGATTGAGCTCGACTGACTTCGATTTCCGAACGTCCGATTTTTAGAATTCGAACCATATTGTGCAGGGAACTTTGAATTCATTACACACTGAAGTTAAACATGATCAGATTTGAAGGATACAATACTTACCGCACTTCATTTTACCAATAGCTTTCCCGAAATATCCTAGTTTGTCATTGAAACAGTGAATTAAAATCGTCCTCTTTCCGTTCATAACATGGCCGCTATTTTTTTAAATGTAAACTTGAAGGTCTGGGTATCAGTGCCCGCGAGCACTTTTAACCAGCGGACTAAATGCAGCCCCGACTAAATTGCAAGCGACGTTATCCCCTGTAAAATTCTCAGTACTGTGAACTTTTGTTACGAATGTTTCACCAACAAGACTCCGCATTGATGGCATTGGTATCTATTCTTGTAACAGCGTTCGGAAATCGGTCAGTGTAAAACGAAGACTGCAGACTGCGGGCCGGGAGTAAAATGAAGACTGAGGGAAAATGATGCAGACTGTAGACTTTTTAACTGAGTCGTACTACCATTTCCATCATTGATAGCCAACCATTAATAGGCTAAACGGAGCGCTATTCAGGCTAACCAGACGGCAGATTTTCACTGCGATTAGCCTGAATAACCCCTATTTACGATTAGCACTCGATAATGGAAATGACACGTTGTATACTTTAAAAATTAAAGTCTGTATTCTGCAATCTGCATTTTACCTCTCCATTTTACCCCCAGTCTCCAGTCTGCACTCCGCAGTCCGCATTTTACCCCGGGTCTGCAGTCCTTCATTTTACCCTCAGTCTGAATTGTATCCTCGGTCCGCAGTTTGCAGTCCGCAGTCTTCGTTTTACACTGACTGGTTCAGAAATGAGAATTGATCAAGAGAATACTGGTCACGGGTCTTTATTGATATATAAAGAGTTACTACAAAACC